CAGGCAGCAGGCACCTGCCATGCCTTTGGTGACCTGTGTCCACGGCTCAGTGGTGTTCAGGGTGGCCCAAGACTCAGGCTCATGCCCCACTCCGCATCCTTCAGCACTTGCTTTCACCATCAGTTTCCATGTGCCCTTTCCCCACACAGCTGAGTGCCCAGAAGGCTTTTAAGGCAAAAAACTTACAAATCAAGACACCGCCTCTGGACTACAGCGCTTAAACCCCGAGAGCATCTCCCCCAGGCTGTGGCTGGGGTCACGGGAGAGCTCCCCCAGGCCTCAGACTCTCCCCTTCCCCACGTCCCTCCTGGGAAAACTGGAGAGGCAAAGGGCTGCTGCTCCAGCAGATTTGCAGGAGTGGGAGTTGAAGAATCAATGGAGCTCTGAAAGCCAGTGGGGAAAGTCATTCTGCACCTTCCTGACACCGGGAATAAATGATTCAGTGGGAAAGGGGGGAAAAAAACACACCCACCCTCAAATGAGGCTGGAATTACCCACTGGAGAGATATTTCATCTTGAGAAATTGTGTTTGCCGCAGCGTTCATCTCACTGAGCCACAGCAAGGCTTTAATATCCAGCAAAAGGTCAAACCTAAATGGGACTTGTTCCAGCCTGCACACACACACACACACACACACACTGAGCTCCCAGCCCCTCATATGGGGCAGGCTGGGAGTGAGCACCAAACCCGGCTCAGAAACACGCTCAGCACCTTATAGCACCCCAGGCACTCACAAGGCTCTGAGTGGCTCCACATCATCAGCCCTTCCCACCCCAAGGGGCCATCCTCCCCCGGTGATGAACAGTCACCCTCCCTATCCATTAGGCAGCACTTGCCAGCCTGCTTCCAATTCTGCCTTTGGAATCTCCCATCACACCGGGCCTGGAGGTGGAACCCGCAGGGCTCAGTGCACAGGAGCTGCTCTGGACACAAGCCGGACTCACAGCCCTGCCTTCTGGTGGAAGGTGTCTGGAGCTCCAGAGGCTTTGCCATCCTCCCTCTCCTGCCTCCTCCCTATATCCATGTGGAAAAGAAGGCTAATGAACACCAGCAGTGTGGTTGTGCATCCTTCCCCTTCATGCCAGTGTGTGCAGGGTGTTGTGGCGTGGCCTCTCCCACTCCCACAGCACAAGGAGCAATTGAGTGGGTTTGGGATACAGCCAGCTCAGGCAGCAGTACAGGGCACCCCTCTGGGCACGGCCACCTCAGCTGCCCTCCCTTCCAAAAGCAAAGATGGCCAAAAGACCTGGGCTCGCTCCCTTTGGAAGCAGGATGGGTCCAACAGAACAGCCCTGCCCGCTTGGGTGTCTTGAGCAGGGTGAGTCTGGGTGAAGGCTGGGACCTTCCAGATGTTTGCACTCCAAGGACCTCATGGAGCAAAGCACAGGCTTATCCTAAAGGAAGGTGGGATTTCAAGGCACTCATTCCAGGGGCAGCTCTCAGCTCCTCGTTTGGAAACAGTGCTCAAAATAGCTTTTGTGAGCAGAACCAGAGTCTCTGTGGCAGTGCCTGCTCCTGCCCTGTCCCTTCCCCTCTCACCTCCTGCCCCGCTGATGCTGCCAGCTCTGAGGAACCCCAGACTGCTCCCATAAGGAAGATGTTTTATAAGGATCACGTTTGGGTCTGCTCAGGGGTATCTGAACCCTGGAGTCCAGGCTGGTCCTGTGGGGCTGTGTGAGCACTCTCCTCACTCCCATCTGTCTGACGGTCCCCATGGCCACACTGTTTTTCCCACTCGTGCTTTGGTATTGGTGCTGTCTCCATCCGTCCATGCATCTGCTCAGCCTCTCCTCAGGAATTTGTACTCTTCCTCATCCCCTTGGACACGGCTCAGCTCCCTGGAGTTTGGCATCCCTATGCCAGGCCACAGCATTGTTCCAGGGATGAACCAGGCAGTGAGCAGATGAAGGGAAGGCAGCTTCCCAGAGAGCTTCCTGCCTCCTTTTCACCATGACAAAGGTGGGAGTCCACAAGAAGAAAGGAGTGAACTGAGCCCTTCCTGTAACATCTACTGAGCTCCCAAGGGGGAGCAATGCAGGTCAGCGAGCTGAGCACAGGGGGTTTTACCTAAGGCAGAGCTGAAAACCTCCTTGAACTTTGGGCTTTATAGCAAACCTGGTCCCAAGCTACAGGCAAACTCCAGACCCAGAAAAGAACTAGCAGCTCTCCTGACAGCCTTGTGCCTTCTACCTTCCATCTCAGTCGTCCACCACAACCTAAAGCTCTCCAGCTTTCCTGTTCAGGACCACATTAAGCTCAGCCAAGGCACCTCCATTCTGCCCAGCAATTCCAGCTGCCCCTTCAGCCCTTCCTGATGGATGAGCTGCCATCCGTGATGGGCAACACACTGGTTTCTGTGCTGATGTGGACGCACATTCTCTGGGGAATCACCTGAAACTACCACCCTCGTTCTCATCTGTGACTTGAGCCAGATTTCACTGTGTACACAGAGATCAGATTCTGCTCAGGTTAACACCAGAGAGGGTTTTGTTCAAATATTTACAGTTAAAGCTCACCAGAAAGTCAACAGGATTCTGCTGGACAGCCCCTCAGCTATTCACATCCCCCAGAGGAAAACAGGGGGTTATGTGGTGTTTAAAACATACAGAGACATCCAAAATCCAGCCTCCTGCCTGTCCCCAGGCCAGGCTGGGTCTGTGCTGTACATCCATGGCTCTGAGGGAAGCAGGAGGAACTTAATGGCTTTTCCTTCCTGATAATGGTGACCATGTGGACATAGCCAGAGTGGGCAACCAGCCCCTCACCCAGCCACACCAACAGAGGAGGAGCAGACCATCTCTGAACAGCAACCAGCAGCCACATACTTGGGAAGCCAACGCTATGGAAAATGGGGTCAGATTGCTTCTCCCCATGTTTGGCTTTGTCTTTGAGCTGTTTGTGTCTCCTGGAAGCGAGTCCTGCCTGGCAACAACCCGAGGTGTCAGTCAGAGGTCTCGTCCTTTCCAGTCAGGATGTCTGAATTCAAGACTCAAACTTGTGGTTGGCAGGGAACGGGGCAAACAAACAGCCAAATGATCTGCTGTGAGTCCCTGACAGCCCAGCACAGGGCAGCAGGCAACAGTTACCCCTCCTGGGGCCTGAGGAACATCCCCCCCCTCACCCAGCAACTTCTCACTGCTTCTAAACGTTCCTGTTGCTGCTCTCCCTACCCCAGGCCCTCTTTTTAGCACATCAACCTCTGTTTCAAGCTCCCCTCATCCATACCTGCGACTGCTCATGGCTTCAGAGTGTGCCTCTGTGGTTTAATGGTTATCTGGGAGTTAAGCCCAGCTCAAGTTGGACAAAGCTGCTGTGGCAGATGCAGAAGCTCAGGTAGAAATCACCCTCTCCCTTTGCAAAGGTCAAAGGGTGCTGGAGGGAAGCCAAGCTCCTCCTGATGAACGGGCTGAACCCCTGCATGCAAGCTCTGAAGGGAGAGCAGACATCTACAGATGTTACTGCCATGAGATGAGGCCAAGTTGATTTAACAGCCTCCTTCCCCTGCCTGGAGATTCAGCTTCCCCAGGGAGCCAGTGACCACACTCGGAGACCTTTCAACTAGGCAGCACTCTCTGACATGAAGCTCCTGTCTTTGAAGGCTTCTCATGTACCTACCAGTGCCCTGGGCACTGGCTCAGCAAGCGTCCTGCTCGCACGCACGCACGTCCTGCAGCTCCCTCCCATGCCTCTCCTTGCTGGTGGATACATCAGCATTGCCACGCAGCCAAGGTGCACGTGTGCCCTCGGTGTGATCCCCTAAATCCCCATGCTCACAGGGAATGCAGGAATGAGTGTGCACAGCTCCATCCTCCCAGTTGTCACCATCTCCCCCTCTGACAATGAAGCCACAGACCCACAGCTGGCATGCCAGTGTTCCCCCTGTGCTGCTGGATAAGGGGAGGCCGGGGCCGGAATGCAGACAATGTCCTAAACAAATCTGCTGTTTACAAAGTCCCTGTAAACAGTTTACATTGCTAGGGAAAAACCATGGAGGAGGAGCAGCTGGAGTGTGCTCCTCTCAGTGCTCCTGTGGGAGCGGAGCTGATGCAAAGGGTGCACACACAGGAGAGAAAAGAGGAGGCAGCAAAACCCCAGCACCAGCGGCTGCCGCAGCCTGCCAGGACCTTTGGCCACCTCCCACTGCCCCCCTGAGCACAGCCGGAGGGAGGTGGCATGGCCCTGGGGGGCAGAGCAGCGTAGCCAGGTCAGCTGCACAGGGAGGCCGACCTCAGGCTCCAGAAGGGTGGTGAGGCTGCTGGGTGAGCTGGCTCCTGCTGCCCAAGGAAGCAGACCTGAAGGAGCCAGCCCTGAAGCTCCTTTGGGCTCTGCAATGCATGTGAAGGGTCTTGTGACTCTCAGCCCATGAAGAAGTGCTGTGTGGCTCACAGAGGCCGGCCTCCTGCTATATTATACACATGTATTTAAGAGTGGTTAAAAATGGGGCCCCAGAAATACCAGCAAGAACATTTTGAAGACCTGGCACAAAATAAAAGCTTCAGTGTACCTCTAATCTGCCCTGCTTCCTGTCCATGGAAGCCTCTTTGAAGTGCCTGTGCATACCCAGTGTGTCAGTGCAGCCCACTGAGCTCAGCTGAACCTCCCCTGGCTCCAGGACAGCCCGGGGGTGCTGATGCAGTGAGCCAGGCTGGGGGCTGAATGCAGGGCCTGAGAGGCTTTGGTGGGAGAAACAGAAGGGTTAAAAGGAAAGCAGAGCCTTTATCAGCCTCCCTCAGCCCTGCTCACAGTAGAAAGGGTTCCTTATGTTACTTGAATGGCTGAGCAGGAGGTGAGAAAATGCGGCCTTTGCTCAAGGAAGGTGATAAGTGCTCTGAGCCCAGAAACAGTGTCAGAGAGGGGCACTGGGGATGGGCAGCCACCTGGAACAGCAGGGCCAGTGAAACCATGCTCTCTACACATGAGGCAGCAATGCTGACCCAGTAGTTGGAAAGGAACACAGGTACAATGACAAAAACATAAAAAAGCAAGTGGGCAAACTCACCCATTTGGTGTTGAAGGGCAGGCAGAGGGCCAAGGAGACCACATTGCTTTATCTGGAAGGGTAAGTGATGTTCATCCACATTCACTCTCGATTGCATCACCAGGAGAAGTCCTCTCAGAGCCAGCCCTGCCTTTGCTCTCCACTCAGTCAGTCTTCCAGGGCCCCCAGTTGTGTCCCTTTCCTGACCAGGAATGGGAGGGAGGGGTCTCCCAGCAGAGCTGCCCATCTCAGCCAGCAGGAATGTCAGAGGCATCCGCAGGACCTCTCACAGAATGGACTGAAAGATAAAAATGGGGGGAATAAACCAACCAACCATTCCCAGCTAACACTGGGTTGTCAGGTTTCTTGCTGAAGCAAAAACAACCCAATCCAAAGATGTTTTTCAGAGCCAACCCCACACCCAAAAGCAAATGTGCTTGGGTTTGGATTCAGAGGCTTTTGTGCAGTTCAAAGCAGTTATCCAGCTGAACTTCTGAATGAAATGGCTCTTCCAAATGAAAACTTGAGCAATGTTGGATTTAAAGCAGTCAGAAACGACTGAAGCTCTGATCCCACTCAAGCTCTGGGTGGTTTGCCCTGACTGAGACAACTTGCTCAATGTGACCAGAAGTCTGCAAATACGTTTGCTTGACCCCACACAGTTCAGTAACAGTGACAAAGCACCTTCCAATTCAAGTCCTTTCAGAGCCTTAAGGACACCCCAGTGATCCCCAAACCTACAGAATCCCCCTGTGCAGGTGGTTAGGCACAGCTTGAAATAGGTGCCAACATCCTTCAGCTTCCTTCTGGTGCCGCAGTGGGCAGAGGTGAGTGACAGGGTGGCTCTCCCAGCAGTGCCACCTCACCTCCACACCCATCGCTTCACTGTGAGGTGGGCAGCAAAGCCACTGGAGCTTCTGCTTGTGAGTGCCAAGGTTCTGATTCTATGATAAACCTTTAGAAATTGCAAAGTGAAGCAGTTCTCCTTTCCAAAAATCATTCATGCTCCCCCCTTGTACCCACACGGGCCTGTTATGTTAAGGCTGATTACAAAACCTGCTTGGAGCAGCCCAACACAACCTTGATTTCTGAAAGAGTGCTGAACATGGCTTGTCTTTGTCCATGCTCAGGGTGACGCTCTGTTAGCACCAGTTCTGCAGCTCTTACTGCTGATGACCACTGTCCAAAAGGAGTCTTTTCTTCAGGATGCTCTGATGGATGTGAAACAACAGCCCTGACCACTCACATTCATCCGCAAAGGCTTTGGACAAGAACTCCAGTTGCTAACCCAAAAGTCTCATGCGTTTTCCCCTTCAATTGTAATTGTTGGTACTGTGGATCACTTCTCTAGAATCAGCTCTAGAACCAGCTGCCTCCCAGAGAACAGGCACAATAAAGCACCTCTGGTGGGATCAGCCTGCCCAAAAGATCCACCAGGCAAAGGCGGAGAGACAGTACAGCAAATTCATCTATCACAACTCTTATGCCTGATGCGACAAGCTGATCAGAAAGCATGTGTATCCTGTTAATGCCAAAGGTCTCTCAGGCCTGTTAAGCATCAATTCCCTTCCTGTTCTCAGGGGTTTTATTACTATGAACCATTAAAACACTGCCAAGATGGCCATGAATTAAACCACACATTTTCTCAGCATGAAGCTCCAGTCCCATATGTTTGGCGGTACACCAAAACCATCCCCTGTATCGCTTTTACAGACATCCACACAGACCAGGCCTGTACCTGCAGCCTCCTCCTGCACCTCTAAGGGGCATCCCCATCCCTCCCTGTTGATCAAGAGGAGACTGACCCAGAAATGCCCTGCCAAGACAAACAGGAGATTCTGCATTGGGATGGCTGGGATATGGCCTGTGCTGCCAATAGCTGCTGAGGTGGCAGTGGCATCAATCACTGCCTCTATTTGTCCTTCTATAGTGCCCTCCCTGGCTTGCCTACGGCCAGAGCGGAGCAGAAGCCTGCCCTCCTCACCAAGTAGTCTGTCCAGACAATCCTTCCTCACATGCATGGCCATGTTCAGGAATTCCTCTTGCAATTCCTTCCTCATCATCCCCAAACAGCATTCCTGTGCAGAGGAGCTTGGGATGCACAGCACCACAGAGCAGTTATAAAGGGCCAAAACCAGACTACAAAGGGAGGCATGGCAGGTGACCTGCGCTGCACCAGAGCTGCTCTGGGACAAAACCCTCACCAAGCTCCAGAGGGACCAGCAGCTCCAAGGTAAAACCCAAGTAATAAGGGGATCTTAGGGGGAAACATTAATCATTATTGGCAGCGAGATTGTGCAAGTCTAACAAAAGCCAAAGGGGTTTTATTACACTCCAAGTGCAGCTGGGAAGTCCCCGTTAGCTGGGAATCATTAAACCTATTGCAAGAATAAATTCTCTTTCAACCAAACCATAAAATGGGAGTAAAATCCTCTTAATCCACTGACAGCTCCTAATGGAACAGACTTCTTTTTTTCTTTTTCCCTAAACAATAAAAAGAAATACTAAAATTGCTGCAGATTATGAAGTGAATAGATTAGGCTCCAAACCAGGCAATATTTACTCAAGGAAAACCTGCTTCATTTAATACCTGCCTCAATTAATTTTTAAGTTTGGGATTAGAACTGAACAGACTAATGACATTTTCTGATTGTGCAAATAGGGATTTGTGAACCCTGTTTGCCCACAATTCAGGCAGGAGTAGAAGCACGTAGGAAAACTTTCCCTTGCTAACCCCCAGGTAGCACTGCTGCACCTGCCAGTAATGCGAGCCTGGAAGGCAGAAGGGGAAGCCAAGGTCCCTCCTCACAGCTGGTCACTACATTTCCTGAAGCAGGAGGTCACTACTGATCCTAGGAAATACAAAAAATATTACAGAAAATGGAAGTTATTTGCTTTATGAACATGAAGACAGAACATCCAAGAGAAAAGCAAGATGAACTTGTTTCACTTCTTTAACATGTAGAGGAGATCAGAACCACAGATGGGTTTGGGTAGAAGAGACCTTTCAACCCCTGCCACGAGCAGGGACCCCTTCCACTGGAGCAGCTTGCTCCAAGCCCCTGTGTCCAACCTGGCCTTGAACACTGCCAGGGATGGGGCAGCCACAGCTTCTCTGGGCACCCTGTGCCAGCGCCTCAGCACCCTCACAGGGAAGAGCTTCTGCCTAAGAGCTCAGCTCAGTCTCCCCTCGGGCAGGTTCAAGCCATTCCCCTTGGCCTGTCCCTACAGGCCCTTGTCCCAAGCCCCTCTCCAGGTTTCCTGCAGCCCCTTTAGGCACTGGAGCTGCTCTAAGGTCTCCCCTTCAGGAGCCTTCTCTTCTCCAGGCTGCCCCAGCCCAGCTCTCTCAGCCTGGCTCCAGAGCAGAGCTGCTCCAGCCCCACAGCATCTGCTGTCAGAGCAGGCTTTGATCCATCTGCCGGACCTGGGATGGATGAAGAGTTCAGCAGCTCCTTGCAAAGGTCTATGAATTTGCTCTGAACAAAGACCTCAGCTGGACACTCTGGTTCCAAAGTCAAAGCACAGATAATTGCTCCTCTTACACTCGAACACAACTGGCTGGGGCTCTCAGCCCAAGAGCTGCTAACAGCAATGTGATTTAGCAACAGCTCTTAGAGCAAGCTTAGTGTACTCCCCCCTCTCTGCCAGACAGCAGGAGATGCAGGAGAGAAGCAGAACACCAAGCTCCAGCATTCACACTGGCTCTGGACACCCAGGTGGGAAAACAAACCTGAACATCACTTCCCTGGGGCAGGCAGTGCAGGACACAGCTGCATCCTGTGCTCAGGAAGCTCCTTGCACACCCAGACACCTGCTCTAAGCCCTCCACTCTTGAGAAGTGCATCATCTTCCCATTTTAATCTACAAGCCATTACTTCTGTTAGACCCAATTCCCCAGCCCTCACGGTGGTTCTGCCTGCTCGGAACTTGGTCGGGAATGTGGTGGTCACACGGTATCTGTAAAGCAAAACTTGTATGTTCTGAGAGAAAGAGCTTCAAAGCTCTTTGTCCATAACAACTCACCAACCTCTGCAGGTCTGGGTACATCGAACTTCTGTGAACAAGGCAGTCTGTCTTCCTCAGCCTTCCTCTGCTGCTGTCCCCTCCCTCCCTCCCTCCAGAGGTTGACTTCGAAGCTCAGAGCTTTCAGGCCTCTGAAAAGTTTCCTGACGTAGACTTGGCCCCTGCACAGTGGGTGTGAATCCACTGAAAAGCGTCTGTCTCTACAGGAGTCATCCACTGCCCAAGGGCTGGGGATCACTGCCCTTGCACTGCCTTCCTCCTTGCTTATCTGTTTCAAAAACTGCTCCTCAAGGCTGAACTAAGGTATCTACAAACCACACTGAAATGCTCAGCAAGTGCTGTCCACAGCCACTCGCTCACCCCATCACTTGCACAACACAGGGGTGAGGATTCCCAGAGCAGCTCCGTACACCACTGGCACTGTTCAAGAGCAGGAGGTGTCTCACCATTAGGGTCTGCCCTGGAAAGGACAACATGGCCATTGGCTTGTGATACCCTCCTCCTTGTCCCTGGTATCAGAAGCACACACTGCATAGAAAGCAGAAAGAAGAGAAATGTTTGATTAAAAAGCTTCCTGCCTGGAAGCAATTCTGATCCTCGCTCGAACTCAGCCCCTAGAGTATACACTTCAATGTATGTATAAAGTCTTCTGGGGAGGGAGATGAGAATGCATAAGGGGTTTATATTTGATATAGACCTTGCTGGCATGTCAGAGCTCTGCTGCTTGTGTTTTCAAGCCAGGAACCTTGGTAACAAGTGCTGGTGAGTGCAGCAGGCTCTCCACTGGAGTTACTGGTGCAGGTCTGGTTGTATGTTGTGCAAAAGGGTCAGAAGGGACAAAAACAAGAGAGGGAGAAGTGGGTTTAATACTTAAATCTTCCTTGAAGTGAAAATGTGGAAGGTCAGATGGCAGCAACAGCGACAGTGAGTATTTTAGACCCAAATAGCACCTAAATCCAGGTGAGAAAGAGGCAGTCTGCAGCACCAGCAGGATCACAGGGCCCATCAGAAATAGCCACTGATCACGAGTCAGGAGCAAGCGAAGTCTGGAGCATGTCAGGAAACAAGAAGTCACCAGGGGTATGCACAAACCTTACAAGGGAGCTGCAATTCTGCAGGCCTAAGGAGTCACATTGTGATCAAAGAGCCACACAGGCACAAAAGGGAACAGCATGGAAACCAGAATCCTTCTCCTAACAGCAAACAGAGGTGAATTACAGCACAACAGATCCTTCCCAAATCACCCTCCAGGTCCCCAAAGCAATTGATGGAGGACTGCACACGTGATGCTGACTGACAAGCCTGCAAGATTGTCTGTGGGAAAGGAACAAGAGGGGTAATTTTATTGTCATGTACCACAGGGGGGTGTAAGTAAAATCACAGCATGAGAAAATGACAGTGTATCTGTCTTAGGTCATTTACATGCCTGGATAATCTGTGGGAGGAGAGCCAAAGCTGCTACATTTGACAGAGGCAACACAACAGTGATGTGCCTGGGAAACAGAAGCTTACACAGAAAATTTGCAAGCCCTAAAATCCAATCTTGTGTTCACTGCTCCCAGAAACCAAAATGATCAGACTTCATAATTGAGGCTTCCAAATGAGTACGCTCTCCTCCCTCATTATGGGCTGGGTAATGGTCTCGTCTTGCTGAGCACGCTGCAGGAATGCTGCAGAGGGACAGTCCCACGCTCAGAAGTGAATGTACCTCCCAAGGACATGCTTAGAGGCCACAAAGACACAGTAGGCAGGTGGAAAAGCACCAGCAGGCATGAGGGCTGATGCTGGGGAGCAGTTGCTGACATAGGCTGTGTAACACAGCAGTTTTTAGAGGGGGTCTGGGTGAAGGAGAAGACACCTTGTTGGTGTTTGCAGGTTGCTTCTCTGCTGCAGAGCGAGGAGTAACCTGGGAGAAATAGGCAGGAACTGGCATGGCTGGCACACAGGCATGACTTAGCATCTCTGTAGCAGAAAAACTTTGAGGTAGATGGAGCAGGGCAGAACAGGCCGTCTGCAGAAGTGTACACACACTGTACAGCTCACATGAGAGAAAGGATTACAGGATCACTGAGACACACTCCGCAGGACTCCAGCACTGCACTGTCAGAGCTTCCCAGTGAAATTCCTTGTGATAAGGACATGTGGAACTCTGCTCAGAACTGATAAGTGTGGTGGAAATCTGATTGTCCAGGGAAATCTGGGCACCCCAAAGGGATTTCAGCTGGGTAGGCAGAGGAGGAGGTGGATCTTAGAGATACCCTGTGGGAAGAACTGGCTAGCTTCCAGCAAGGCCCAGATATGGGTATTAAGAGAGAGGTTAAGTTACAGAGGACCAAGGGGTTGAGCAGATGGTAAGAAAGAGACATCAAAAAAGGCAGCAGGGAAGAGCAAGCACAAGAAGATTTAAGGTTCCACTTTGTGTTGAGCTGAAGCCAGGAGGTGGGTGTCCATGAAGTGCTGTCAGAAAGACAGACTGCAAATTAATCTGGGCAGTGCAGGACAGGCCAGGAGGAAAGCAATCACTGTGAGGCAGCAGGAGGTGATTATAGATGCAATGTTGGTAAATCAGGTCACCAGAAAGAAAGTGCAGAGAAGGCAAAGAGAAGGCAAGGGATGGAGCAGGTAAAATAGACAGAAGGCACTACTTGCACTGTCAAGTAGGACAGGTACAACCTTAGATTACATCAACCCTGTCCTATTCTGTGAGCAGAGGGGAAGAAACATCCCTCCCTTGGGGGCAAGTGTGTCATATCAGCTACTGATAAGAAACCTGGAAGAGCTTGGGAAGCTGCTGGGTCCCAGTTCTCCAAAGGTGAATTTCTGCCTCAGTTTCCCTGGAGCCACCTGGCTTCTGCAGCTGCAGAAACTTCATCTGGAGGGTAGCGAAGAAGAGAAACCTTCCAGTGGTTGGTGGCTGTATTGCACTTGAGCTTTTGGCAGCTCTATTTCAAGAAGGGGCAGTGAAGCATCCCCCTCCAGAGACAGCTACAAGCTCACCAGAAGCCCAAAAGAGGGTAAAGCACCTTGTTGGTAGCCTTAGACTGGAAAAACCAACCCCACGGCTGAGGCTGGCAGGGAGTTGTGTCAGGAAACGGAGCATACCCAATGTAACTGCTGCCACCCAGGCACTGGAAGAGGCAGAGCTCCCTCTGTTATGTTCAAGGGCAGGAGCAGTGGGGTTCTGAAAGTCAGAATTGACTCTGGATTACCCAGGCAGCTGCCTTTTGAGATCACCCCTTTACCTGCGGGTGCTGCTGGAAAGCAGAAGGCAGCACGCAGAGAACGTCCAGCTTAACTTGGCACTGGCAATGGCCTCTCGTGTCGGGAAGGGACTCATGGAGCCTCCAAAGGGATGGGGAGGGTGTTTTGCAGCATTGGGCACTCACCCCAAGAGCTCAGAACAACAAAGAGATTCTGGGAAAAAAAAATAACCCATTTCCAGTGGCAGAGAGGCTGTTCCCCAGTCCAGCAATCCTGGGCAGAGCAAGGGGAAAAGAGGGCTGGGAACAGACAGTGGAACTCAGCTGCAAGAACAATAGGGCTGTATTAAGGGGCCTACTCTGGAACTTAAACCAGGTTTAAGCAACTTCGCTGCTGCCTAATCTGAGGCTGATGACGAGTCAGTGTCTTGACAATCTGGAAATGCCTGGCCAAGTCAATGGAAAAGAGCAGGTGAGACACTTAACCCTTAAGTGTAGAGCTTATGCTGCCCGCATGTGCACAGCAAAGGCAAACAGCTTTTAGGTTTAAGGTGCTCAAACCTTCATGGAAGCAAGATATGAAGAGCTACAGTCAGGACCCAGCAGCCCGGGCTCTCACACTGCCTGCTCACCTGCCCCAGCAATTTGGACATTGTTTTACACAACTTCATTCCCAAAGGGAATCGAGTCTGCAGTGCACAGCTTTGTCCCAAATTCCATTACAAGACTTCATCAGATGACTCCAGACTCTGAGACTACTTTCTCTGCACAGTAATAGCCATTACTTCAGACTCTGTGAGCATTTTCGTTACCCTTATATTTTCCCTTCAAATATGACAGGCAATTCTCAGAAAATACGTTATAAACTCTTTTGCTCTGGAGTTCTGCCACCTTCGATTGCACTCTGCTTTGCTTCTCCAGCCCAGATCACTGTTTTAGATAGGATACGTGCAACCCAACCAAGTAAATGTGCAAAATCCAAACAGTAAAACACTCTCTGAAGCCCCCAGTGCTGCTTCACAGCTGGAAGTACAGGCTAGGGCCTGCCTTGCAGTTGGAAGAGCACCTCCAGTGTTCAGAAGTCCTTGTAGACAGATCAGCATGACTGCTTGCTGCAGCGCAGGTCTGGGCTGGTGTGAGGTTCTCTCACAGCCCATTGACAGGGATCCACCTCATTGCCAGCCCACTCTACCTATGGGTGGGCTGCAGGCAGCATCTCCTGGATGCTACAGATGGTTCTGGAAACATCTAAGGAAACATCTCAACCCCAGTGAGGGCCTGGAATAGCAAATCTGGATTCAGAAAGGGGCCATATGCCTCCCACTCTCATTGAAGACATTTAGGATGCCTCAGGCTTGTCACACAGAGGGCAATATAACCAAGAAGAGGATATAGAGAGCAGATTCCCCCCTGCTCATGTTTCCCCCTAACCTCATTTACACTTCTTGTGGCTCCTCGTGCTCCCCACGACTTCAACAGCCCTGCAGGCACAGGCTCTGGTCCACTGTAGCCTTCCAAGAAGCTAACAAGGTTATAGCTCCCCAGGCAGCTCCTCCAAGCTGAACCATGACAGACCCCAAGGGTGCAGTCAGTGTGGACTGCTGGTGAAATGCTTCACTAAGGACCAGCAGCAAGGCAGGTTATCCATCATGTGGAGCTGTGCTGCACTCCAGGATCAATGCAGCACACAGGGTGAGGGCTAACCACTGGAGAAAGCCCTGATGAAACCCTGCTTGGATGCAGTTGCAGAAAGATTTACACAGCAAATTAACTCCACTGGTTGAGTTACCTGGATAAGACATGGTTTTTTTCATTTCAGAACCTCCAAAGGCTGCACAGACCCTCTGGTGCCAAAGAGGAGGGCTGCTGCCCACACACTGTGAGAACATCCCCTTCACCCTGCCACCTAACAACAACTAGCTGCATTTTCAATGGGGATCTCCATTACCTGTGTCACTGTGCTGATGGTTGTATTGCTGTGTCTGTCTGGAGTTCCTTGGGTTGACTCAGGACATTTGTGTGCTGTTCCCAGCTCTGCTGCTTCCTCTCACTGTAAAATAAAGCACATTACTCAGGGTGGAAGTGTTCTCATGTTTTGGTTGCCATCATGGTTTGGTCTGTTCAGAGCCTCTGTGCTCTGCTTCCAAATCCAGAATTGTCTGTGCAGAGCCTGACAAGGGGAATTTACACCTGCAAACCATACATCCTAGATGCTCTTCCCAAACAGCAGAGCTCTGACTAAGATGGCTTTGGAAGAGTCTCCTGCACAACACAGTGGCATGGTAAAGCCCCTCCTATGTCCTACATGGGACAAGCAGCCCTCACCTCTCCTGTGCAAAGGCTTTCTCAGTCCCACAGCACTGTGGGACTTTGCCCTAAGCAACACTTTCTCATGATTCTCATGATTTCTCATCATTCCTACAGACTCTGTTTCCCTTTCCAGTGCGGTCTGTCCTCACTCAGCAGCATCTGAGGGCCCCTGAACCTTGCACGTGTTCACTGAGCTACTGCTTATTTTGTGTCAGACTGGATGCCATGTCTGGTGTCACAGTGGAGCTTGGAGATCTCAGCCTGGAAAGCAGGATGCTCTGAGCTGACCTGAGTGACAAGTGCCAGAGGTATCCACCAGGTACCTCTGTGTGTGTTCAGACCTTTGGAACACACCACTGCAGTGCCTCTGTGCCCACAGTGCTGGGTTCCTTGCCCCTCATTCACATAACCCCCCATTTTAAAAGGCCCAATCCTTAGCAGTCCCCATGTCCCTGTACACACCCCTGCAGAGCACGGGGAACCCGTCACCCCCTGCCCATGTTTGCTGAGCCCACGCTTGCCTTCAGAGCCCGTTCTCTGCTCTGTGTGCCTGCAGCAGTGAGCACCTTTAGGGGTGCTCAACTACAGGGTAATTAATTAACTCCAGCAATCACTTGCATTCTCTGCAATTGAAGACAACTCTCGTGACGCCAGTGCTGGAGGGCACAGCTCTGTTGTGTGGGGCTGCAGTGCCTGCCGGCTGGGCACTCTCAGGTGCTGGCATTCCTAGAAGGTGAGTAAATTCCTATTGCAAATGACTCTGATGAAGTGGCTGTTATTAGAAAGGCAGACACAAAGGGAGCCCGCTGACTGGCTGGCAGTGATGTCACCGGCACTCAACGCACACATCCCCATTTGCTCAGCTACACTGTGTGTATGATGGTCCTTTTCTACAGGCAATAAGGACTCAAAGCAGAGCCCTTCACCCCATCAGTGTGTTTGTGTGGGGGGGTTTGTACTTCTCAAGTGGCTGCTGAAAGCAGAGCAGCCTTTGTTCCTCTCTTGCACTAAGCCTAAGGCTCCCAGTTTTCACCCACAAAGGCACTGTGTTATTGCTCTATTACAAACCCACCACCCCATTTTCTAGCAGAGAAATTGACATTTTCTGGCTTGCCTGTACCTAAAACTCATTCTGATCACAGAGATTTTGCTATCTACAAGCCGAAACTTAAAGTGCAGAAAAAGTAACAGCCTGGGTCTCATTCTGTTTTGCAAACAGCCAGGCAGCAAAACCCCAACCAGTTCTTTACTTTGCGAGTTCCACATGCTGGTTTTTGCTCCCTGCACAGGCACTGTGGAACACTCAGGGAAGCTCTCCCAGTGGGGCAGGCTCATTTCTCTCCCCTAACTGAATGTCCTATCAAACTTTCAGAGTTTGCCTAGACAGTGTTGCAGCTTCCATCATTTCTGGATGCAAACAGGCATGCTGGTACAGCTCAAATGGCAGAACCCCGTGCAGACAGCAGGCATGAAGCACCACTTGCCTCACTGAACTGGAATGAACTCTCAAGTCCAAGGAGCCCTGCCAAGCCAGCCCTGTGGGGCTGTGGGCAGCTCTGCAGCTCCCTCGGGCAGAGCTCCTGCAGCTCTGGGCTCCAGCCTCCACCACACAGGGATGCGGGAGGTTTCCTGTACCTGCTGCTTCCTCCCTCCATCACGTACAGCTGAGGTGTGAGTTTTGCTGGGAAGGCCAAGTGTAACATCTCCAGCTCCTGCTTGGGCTGTACAAACACTGCTCTCCTCTAACACACGCAGCACAAACCCAGCGCTGACCTACACAACTTGCCTGTTCCCCTTGGATTATGGCTCTGAAGTCATTTGTCCTACAAGGGCAGAACACAAACCACATCTATCACTTGGAAGATGTCCTGGAAACCCCCAGATAGTTGCACTGATGAAATTGGACACTGGCTGGAGAGCTCAAGCAGAGTTAGATTTGCTGTTCCCAGTCCAGGGGTCATGACTCTCTGCAACATCATCAGCTCCACTTTATTCCAGGTGGCTTGAAGTTGGAAATCATTGTCTCTCATTGCCTGAAGATTTGCTGAGCTGCCTGCCCTTTGCAGATAACAGCAGCTGCCCTCAGACTCCCAGATGCTGGATCTGAGGCTTTTGAAGTCCTGAGGGTGAAGGTGCAAGAACAGGCATCAGGGAAAGAGAGAGCCTGACTGAATCAGAGTTTAAAAAGAATATGAAGGCAGAAGTCCTAGGAGAGGGAGCTGGCTGGCGGGGACATATGGTCAGGATCAGCAGAAAGGGTCCAAGTTTAAAGACCTGGAACAGATTCAGATCACTCCTTTCAGACGTGACCTCCTTTCCTGTTTGAGGAAGACAGCAAAGAGCAGGATCCAGTCTGGACTGAATCCTGGATCCTTTCTTTGCCAATGCACAGCTTGGCCTGACATCCCTGTATGCTTTTACCACTCCATGTGCAGCATACAGGGTTAGCCAAAGCATCAGAAGAATCTCAAGTAGAACAACTTCATTGGTTTTAAGAGCTTTCTTACAGCATCTCTGGAGTTCTGGCATGCTCCACCACAGACCAGGGGCAGGAAGCTCAGAACAGCCTGTGGATACTGCATTACTATTCAGAACTGTATCGAGTTCCCAAATGGCAACCACTGTCCAAAAAAAGAACAGAACACCCCCCCACACACAGCACAGACAACCAAATGAGCATGCTGAGCCTAACCCTGCTTCCCTTCCTCACGCAGAGTAAACCCCTTGGTCCCATCTTGCATTTCAGCATCGCTCTTTCCCCATGTGAAGCAGCCAGGCTCTAGTGGAGAACATGGTCCCACTTACTTATCCTTTAAAACAGGAATTCCTTCATCACTTGGCTTTTTAATAAAGCTGGGGTTTGATATACCAGTCAGCCCCTCCCTTTCACTTGAGGACAGCATGAGAACCATGTCTGAATTATAACACCCAAGAAGCTGTTCTGGAGTAATAGGAATCAAAGCCCTGAAAGTGGGATTGGATTTCATTCATCGTGGCTGATAGATTTGATGGTGGATTGAGAGGTTCAGGATTGGCCTGGGGGATAGTTATCACAGGGCACACTGCAGTAGGGTGATAGCTTTTCATTTCTAGCCATGTGGGAGGGAAGCAGGGAGAAAATAAGTGAATAATTGTGCCTAATTAGAACTTGTGTGTGCATCCCAAATTAATCTGTTGAATAATCAACCACCACCAACAGAGTGATTCAAAGGAAAAAGGAAACAACAGCCCAGAAAGATCTAGAGGGCTCCCATAAATTCCTCAGGATGGGACAAATGTTTTATGGAGCTGCGGCCCTAACTACAGAAGGGGAAAGGGACAAGATTACTGAGTGGAAACACTTGTTTTGCCTAAGATGTTTGATAAAGGAAAGGGATGAAGACAGTGAGGGACAGTGGGTGATGCTCCTGCCTGACCCTCCTTCCTATCCGCTCACAACACACGGCTGGGACAACAGATCCAGCCCCAGGGAGACGCGGGGTGGCTGCAGGGGGACCAGACACGCCACTGCTGTTACTGCAGGGATAATGAAAGGTATCCAGGCTAGCAGAGAGGGCAGATGGAGGCAAAGCTGCAGCTAGCAATCTGTGTGCAAGCACCGACCAACCCACTGCTCCCTGTCCACAGGATCCCCATAATCTCCCAAGGCAGACCTGCTGTTACAAACACTCTCATCACTAACGCAGCGGGGCAGCTAAGCAGAGAGAGGGAATGATCTAGCAGGGGGTTAATAAAAGGACTGACGCAGAACAAAAAAGGCCTGTCACTCGCCCTAAGATGTGCTCTCCATCCCTTCCACCCCCCAGGAAATTAAAAATCCCAGCCTGGGGTGTACACTGTGTTCTCAGCAGGACTGGATGGGGAATGGGATGTGGAAGGGTGGGATGGGAAGGGGAAAGTTGGGAGTCCAATGTTTGTGCCAGCTGTTGTTTCTGGTGTGACAGATCAGTGGCATTACTCTGAAGGACCAGGTTACCTGGTCTTTAAAAGCCTGACAAGACCAAGCCATGTTTCTAAATGCTGTTGCCAGCAGCTCCTCCTGGAGCGAGTCCTGCCAGGCAGGAGGGCCAAGCTGCTCTGCCTGACACCAAAGTCCATGTTTCCATGGAAATGGGAACAGAAGAACTGCCTGTGGCATGACACACCTTTTCTGATGTAGATTTGGCCCATTTCTGACATCCCTTCTTGCTGACAACCTCAGGACTGGAGATCTTAGGAGCACAATCAAAACAGACCAAGAGGGGAAAAATATGTGATTGTACAGAACAAAACCCCTCACCCTCTCTGGTGAGCAGCAGCTAAACCAAAACCACCCTTCAAGGCAAGGAGACTTCCACACCAAATATAAACTGGTAATCACAGGGTCCTTGTTTCTCAAAAGCAGGTAGCAATGATCTGCTCCTTCCCCTCTTCAGGCTGTTTGGGGTACAGTTTCCAGCATTTGCCGCCCCTCCAAATGAATGAAATGTCTCTGCTTGGGGGTGGATCCCCTACTGCCCATTTCCTGCCTGCATTGGCTTCTCTGCAGTGCATTGTCTGCAGCTTGGCAGGCAGATGCAGGGCAGGTACAGGCAGAAGCAGGCAGGTGCGGGAAGGGAGCAGGCAGAGAGTGGGCAGGGAGCAGGGCAGGAGCAGGCAGGGAACAGGCAGGAGAAACGCAGGTACAGGCAGGGAGCAGGGCAAGAGCAGGCAGAAGCAAGTAGGGAGAAGACAGGAGCAGACAGGGAACAGGCAGGAGAA